CCTGAAGAGACTGGGGTGTATTCACTAAACAGTGAATTCTGAGAATGGAAAACTGAATGTTTAAATTAGCAATTTTATCAAAACATCTATTTTAGGCTAAAAAAAAACATAGGTTTGAGTGTTTCTAGTAATGTATCTGCATTTGGTACCAGTACCTTCTGTATTAAAAGGTCCAGTTAGAATGTGCCTTGGGCTTAAAGGGACACTATAAGCACCAAAACTAATATATCTTAATGAGGACTTTGCCAAATTTGCAAAGTTCACCTATGGTGACATCACCACTAAGGGTCCATCATTCCTGATGATCTCATTGTAGGAGGAATACTGCTGAAAGGAGAATGTCCTGATGCTGCATTAAAGGTAAGTTTACATTTATTTTTTTAACATTGTTGGAGCCTTATATCTAAATTAAAATCTAATGTTACAGTGTAATCTTTCCAAAACAAATATATTTACTTTTAATGTTAAAGTGTTCCTTTGAGTCATTGAGACAAACAGATGGAGATACCTGCTTCTGAAAACTTCTGAAACTAGATATGTGTCTGTTGGGTTATGCTGCAATCAGATTTTGACGACAGTCCCCGAACGCCTTTGTGATTCCTTACACAATTCCAACAATAAAGGGCCTTGTGAAAACAAATTGCAAATAGATATCATAAAGAGGGAAAAATTATTAGAATGACCCTCTAACAAAAATATAACCTGAAATATATAAATATATTTATATATATATACATATATATACATCCCAGGTCACAGCACTCAATGATCCCTGTCTTTTAATGCTCCGGTGCTGTCTCCAACCAAATTGTATACGATACCAGTAGAGAGCACTCAGGAGTCTTTCAAAGTAAATTTAATCTGTTGCTTTATTGAGCAATTACAAAAAATAAGTCTTGAAAAAAGTATTTTACAGACTGAAACGTTGACTGGAACTTTGTGTGAATTTGTAATTGCTCAATAAAGCATTGAAAAAAAATTGAAAAAAGATGCACTCTTCGGTCTTTTTGAAAATCCTAACAGTCTTTAATCCATAGAAGGTTTACAGGTTGCTCGAAGTTCACAGTTGTGAACTGAAACGTTGACCACTTGGATTAAATGCTTTCATGCTGAAGTCCTTGAGTGCTGGCTTTCTTTTTGGAGACTATACACATAAATATATATATATATAAGCAAAAAGGATCAAGGGAGCACACTAGGTCTTCAATTTAGTGAGGCAAAGTTATTTAATGTATCATAAAAAATACATAGGCTGTGAAATACACGAAAATCAACGTTTCAACCCTTCTGGGGTCTTTATCAAGATCACCAGGAGGGTCGAAACGTAGATTTTCATGTATTTCACAGCCTATCTATTTTTTATGATACATTAAATAACTTTGCCTCACTAAATTGAAGACCTAGTGTGCTCCCTTGATCCTTTTTGCTTATATACATTACGCGGGATTGCACCTAGGAACTTATATATACTTTTTCTCAGATAGCAAAGGAGGAGTGCGTTGCCTATTTATTTTTGGATATATATATATATATATATATATATATATATATATATATACAATATTAGAAAAATGAATTCAGAAATCCAGATCAAAAAATTTGGATTCAATTTAAGAGTATATATTATACATAGGTAAGTCAGGTTATAATAAAAAAAAAATGAGAGCATCAATATAGAATGTATTTTCTGGGTATTTGTAATTTCTTTGATTTGCTTATTATGATGTAAGATAGAAGCAGCCTCGGAGACGAACAGTTCTCAAGTCCTACATTCCACATAGAGCTTCTCTTCATACTGTCTCTCCATTCAGAGTATGACGAACTATTAAATGCACTTGTACCATCTGTTACTTGGTCTTGTCAAAATGACACACAGCTTGCCCAGGTTTATCTTGTCTTGCTTAGGGCACTCACAGTGGTGCAATATCTTGAGATACACAAATGTTATCTAGATAAAATATAAACACATCAAAATATTGATCAACAATAGTATGAATAAAATTAGTAAAGCAAGTGATCTTTCTATTTAGAGCAGCTATTCCAAGCTATGCCAGTGCCTTTCCAATGATCTTTAAAAATAACAAAAGGGTACTTTCTGTGAAAGCTATATGTAAAAAGCAGTATTTTGCTAAAGGAACCTACTTAATATCAAGAAAGTGTGAACAATTTGCAGATTTTTTTATATTTCCTTTTAGTCTGTTAGAACTTTTAATTTCATCCTATAATCAATATTGAAGTTTTATTCTCCTTGACGTGTCCATAATGTACATTTTAGGTGTCCACCAGGCCATTACCAAATTCAAACTAACTCAGTAACTTATTGGAGATCAAAAAGGACAAAAAAAATACAACATTTTGGCCTAGAGGAATTTAGGCTGAAATATTGTATATTTTTTTGTCTTTTTTGATCGCCAATAAATATACATTGTGATGCCTGTGGAACTCTACTCCTTGTTGTTCCTAATGGGTTGCGGAACCCCCTCCACAGAGCTCCCACGTAAACTTACTTGTGTGCAGCACTCTTTTGATTTTATGAAATGACTCAGTAACTCAATTTACATTTCTTGAAATTTTAAATTTCAAAGATTTTTGCCTTTTAATACTAATAATAAAGTTTATTTGAACTTTGGATTCTGGATATAATAGAGAGAGTTATCCTCCGGCTAAGCGGTCAGATCGAGCCCATAGTTGCTTCATTTGCACATGTGCTTGTCTTTGTGCAATGTATTTTGTGAGTGTGCTTTTAATCCCAGTTTTCTTTTTGTACTAAATGTACATATTGTACTATGATTTGTTCTCAGAGTGGGATCCTTATGCCAATTGGTTACGTTATTGAGGTTATTTGGCACTGGTGTCGGGAACCCTCTGTTGCATATTGGGTAATGTACGCACATTCGTTTTATACAGAAACATTTTGCAGCAAGTTGGCAATAGACTTGTACATGGCAAGATATTTCAGTTCTCTCAAATTATGTTTCCCGAAGATATATAATTTTTCAGGACCCCCCTAATTCATTGAATGTGGGTATGGTTTGTGTGAAGGTCTACTCGAGAATTAAATCTGAAGAACAAACCCAAAAGGCACAAAAATGGTCCAATCAATGTGTTGCGAAATATATACATTATATAATATTATGTAGACATAGAGATTCAAATCAGTCAGAATTGAAATTTGGAAGAATTTCTACCGGTACAGTGTCATTTTGAATCACAGAACTTCAACCTAACTTTTTCACAAACACAGCTTTTTGAAAATCGGAACTATATCACTTTGGAAGAACTGAAAAATGTTTCTATGAATAAGTTTAATAGGTTCTGCCACCATTTTTCTTTATTAGGGCTCCCTTGCAATTTTTAGATCGAGACAACATTTTTTTAATCAAACCAAAATTTGAAATGGAACCTAAAAATGTTAAACTAAAATTCTTCAGAATTAAAAAAAAAATAGAAAATTTAGAACCATATCACTTTGGACTGACTTTTTTTGCAGTGTATATATTCTGCAGTACACGGATAGAAGCATTTTCTCATGATTTAGTTCACAAATTGAAAAAAAGTAGCCAAAAAACTATTTATGTATTTATTTATCATATATGTTTTCAATATGTAATATATAAATATAGATATTTTGTTCTATCACTCCTCCTGTTGCTCATGATCTGTGAATAAAATCAATATTTAGTAACAGTCCCATTGCCATCTATCAACTGTTTTCGCAACAAACATCTCTTTTTCTGGTCTCCCCTCCACCCCAATATGTTCACATTGTGAGTTTCAGTTGCTCCGTAACTCGAGTACATTCGTCTCAGAATCTAGGAATTTTGTTGAATACCCGATCAGCCTAAATTCGTCCATATTGCAGTTTTGTTTAAAACAAATCTCCAAGTCTAGCTAGCAATAACAAAAGAAGAAGCAAAATAACAAGTCTAGCTAGCAATAACAAAAGAAGAAGCAAAGTAACAAGTCTAGCTAGCAATAACAAAAGAAGAAGCAAAGTAACAAGTCTAACTAGCAATAATAAAAGAAGAAGCAAAGTAACAAGTCTAGCTAGCAATAACAAAAGAAGAAGCAAAGTAAAAAGTTGCAAAAGTAGGTTGTTTGATGCACATTCCTTTTCTTTTCCAGTTAGACATCATTCCAAACAAGATCCGCAGTCATGAATCTTTCACTGATAACATTGGTTGGCACATTCAATTAACTAACATAACACACACGGGATCTGATTAAATCAATGCTACGGTATTACCACTTTCCAATTTATTTTAGTTCCCTAAACCTGAGAACTGGCAATATAAGTCTGTTTCATAGAGTAAGAACCTTTGTTGGTTTGACAGTATTATCTATTTCCTGTCTTTTTTGGTTTTTATATATGGAAAAAAAAAGAGGGGAAGAGAGCGAGATAAGGATAATTTAGGTGTTAAGGTAGTTTGGTGGTTAGTGGTTAGTGTTAAGATACTGAAATGGTTAATGTATAGTGCTAGTTTAGTAGAGAGGTTAATTTAACCCCTTAAGGACTGAGCAATATGTACACGTTTTGATCAAAATAAAACGTAAACAAAACTTGGAATTTAACTATGTGTATGTTCAACCGTAATTCAACTCTTTCATATTAAGTGCACCCACACTTATTATATATCATTTTATTCAAGAGAAATAGGGCTTTCATCTAACATAAAATATTTAGCTATGAAACATAATTTAATATGAATGAAATATAAAAAAATATGTGACATTTTGTTATTTTTTTAGTTCTGCATGACATTTTAACTGTTAATGTCATAATACTGCTTGATTTTACTGCAATAAAATACACATATTTGTATTCAGCAAAGTCTCACGTGTAAAACAGTAACCCCTATGTACAGGTTTTATGGTGTTTTGGAAAGTTACAGGGTCAAATATAGCATGTAAAATTTTTCATTTTTTTCACATTGAAATTCGCCAGGTTGGTTACGTTGCCTTTAAGACTGTATGGTAGCCCAGAAATGAGAATTACCCCCATGATGGCATACCATTTGCAATAGTAGACAACCCAAGGTATTGCAAATGGGGTAAGTCCAGTCTTATTTAGTAGCCACTTCGCTGAACACAAATGTTAGTGTTTCAAAATTATATCGTTTGCAGAGAAAGGCAGCCTTGCAGCTGTATAGGAACTGGGTTATAGTCTCGGTATCACCTTCTTAACCAATATACTTTCCAAAACACCACAAGCACCCTTTTCTCAATGTCCAAATAAAAAGACTGCTTTTCAAGAGGAAGACAAAAATGGATCTTAACAAAGAAGTGTTATTGTTTGTCAAAGCAGAAGAGAATCTCAAAGTAGAGATACTGGTCACGGGCAACCTGACAAAAGCCAGTCTTGCAAGCCTCCATCGTCTACACAAGGAAAGGCAGGAACTTCTAAGCAACATTCACGGCCAGCTGACCCAATGAACAGTTTGCTACTGTCTGAAAGAAGTTAGAGAGGACTGCCCAATGTCTCCAGTAATCAAAGTTCAAGGGGTTGTTTGAAAAGAAATTTAAATTTGCCACAAAAAACAGAGTCTGAAGATTTCGGAGTGGATCAACCAACTTCAAGCGGGCCTTGTTAAAAATGTGTGAAAAATGCAAAAAAACTCACTTTCACTGACGATATTATCATTGTAATACACTTTACTGTTTGGAAACACTAATATTTGTGTTCAGCGAAGTCTTCAGAGTTATACAGTACCCCCAAGGTTTTATGGTGTCTTGGAAAGTTACAGGGTTAAATATAGTGCTAGCAAATTAAATTCTCTGGACTTTCTGCCTGGGTTATCAGGCAAGATCCGCAGATTGTAATTAATAAAATGACCTAATTATGTAAAAATATTACATAAAAATATATGTAGAATTAAAATGTATGTATATATATATATATATATATATATATATATACAAATTTTAAATAACTTTTATTTACATATAGGTATATAGTGATATATACATTTATATTTATGTATATATATATATATATATATATATATATATATATATTATTTTTGTCCTATATATATATTAATATTATTTTGTTATATATATATATATATATTAATATTAAAATACAGTTAGAATGAAATTACACACATATATAATTTTGAAATTATTAATTAATTAATGTATTTTTCATTTTTAAAGTATTTATATATTTATTTATTTTATATATTATTTATATATATAATTATATATATATATATATATATATTTAATTAATATCCTTCTACATGTATTTTGATATTAATATATATATATATATATATATATATATATATATAAGTATTAAAATACACTTAGACAGTGTATGTGCAATGGACGGCTATTTCATCCATGTGATCATGATGTCCTCGCAAGAACCTCACGATCACATGGCCCAGGAGGGCCGGATCAGCAGCAGAGGGACTCCCTGGGATGCCAGGTAAGTTCCCCCATTGCGATGACCGGCCGGGGATTACTGGCTAGCAGGTAAGTACCCTGGATAGCGGGACATGCTATGCCGCCCGCCGGCGTTTAGAACCGGGTCCCAAAGGATGGTATAGCATGTTCGTCGTCCTTAAGTGTTTAAGTTTAAAAGGAAATGTTTAGTGTTAATATAGTGTAGTTAATATTTATTGTAGTGTGGAGGTTAATGTTTAGTGCAGAAAAGACTTTGAACATTAGTAATGGTATAAAAGATGTTAATAATAAGTATAGAGGGGATATTAAGTGTACTGTGTTAGGGTAGTGCACAGGTTAAGAGGAGGACTTTCCTAAAAGATCAGCACTATAAAATGTGTGTCCCAGTGCTGCCTATGATTAATTGAATTTACAGTCCTCGATAGGGCCTGCCGCCATTAAACTGGGAATGTAACTCCAATGACTGATACCCTTGAGGCAATGCAACTGTGCTGTAGTGGTTATAGTGCCAAGCTGTCCATGTTGTCCTCTCAATCAAAGTAGTCAAACCATTCTCTAATGGATTGACACCTTACCTTGCCTGGCACCCATCACCTACTCCATTGAGAGATGGAAGCTCTCTTCTCTCAGCTACTCTGGCAGTGCAGGATTTAAACGATAGATCAAGAGGAGTGATCAGCTGACAAAGGGCTTAGTTATGAGAGCTAATGTAAGTTCCACATAGGAAGGAATATATGACCATCACGTTGTTACATAGATCTGAGAGAAGAGCCACAATGAGGTGTCTGGGAGATGCACTTCAAACAATAGGAATTTGCGTTGAACTCTGTCTCTCTAGTTGGCTCATATGTTGTTCCAAGTTAGAATAAAGATATTCTAATATAGATTTTACAAATTAAAGAGGAATACGTAACTATGAACATTTGGCCAGTGTAGCTTATTTTACAGAGAACACACTATGTGTGAGACGGCAGCACTTTGACTCCCTGACCTTTATAAAATTAATAAGCAAAGAAAAATATGCAGACACCTTCTTAAAATCATTTCTTTCATTTAGTTACATTAAAAAGATGTAAACAGAAAAATCTGATTAAAATTAGGGGACAGGTGCACAACGGATATATCTCATCGAGCAAGCAGTTATTACTCATTTCTTTGGAGCCCCAAATCTTAATTTGCTTTGTCCTCGGGTTATTTACCCAATTTTTTTTGCAACTGCACAGACAAAATGTATTCATTTCAATTAAACATAATTTGCCAAATTAATAATTTATCTTTTTTCCACAGAATGTATTTTTAATGACAAATATGATTTGCCTTGTGTTCTAATTATGCAAATCGGTTGACCTAGGAGACATCAATAACTCAGGGCCAATCTGCTTTTGGTTTTTAATATTTTTGAGTGATGACCATGATATAGGATGGCTAATATAATGCTTAGTGATAGGGAATCATCAAAGGGATGATTCAATTAAGAGTTGTAGAAAGTTGAGAACCGACTTGCAAACTTTGGGTCAATACTTCCACGTTATTTACAACTTTGTTAGTAACTTTTCTCACCCTACTGTTCTGTTAAAATAATTGCCTCTAAATGAAAATGTTGAACTTAAGATTCCTTAGAGCAATTCAAAATGTCTGGAATGGATATGACCCCCAGAGGATTATTTCAGGCAATTAAGAACCTCCTGGAAGCATTATGTGAAAATTATTGTTCCTGTAGCGTTGAAGCATCCAGTTTATTTTTTCAGTTTCTTCTGGTGTATAAATTCGGGAAGATTTTTTTCCTCTCTCATTTAAAAAGCAGCCATTTACCACGTCTGTTAAGTGAGTACAAAGCTGTGTGACTGGAAGGATCGACCAATCAGACTGCTGGGACTAGCTGTTGAAAAACAGATGTGGAATGAATAATTGACAAGCATCTTGGTTCTAGAATTGGAGGATCCTGCTCTTTGCTGTATAATTAGATGATAACTTCAGGGTGCTTGTTGTTTCCGAGGTAATGAATGTGTCCTAATAAATGTATCAAATTAACAACAAGCAGTCTCAATTTATAACAATTATGCTTTCATTTAGTTTTTTTCGCCTGCTGTTGGCGGCTGAGGATTTACAGCACGTATCTGAAACATGAAAGCTTGTTTGTTAAACCTTTTTTTTCGTTATCTATGTTTATGTAGATTTACTGACCCCAATATATTTAAGGGGCACCCAATGGTGTGAAAAAGGTCTGTGATGGATATAACATTCAAATCCTTGTATATGTCTGATCCTCAAACCCATGTAATAACATAGGAAGTGTTAATGTAAGCATTCTGTTTTAGTTGTGTGGTGGTGCCCTGTTATGTTAAAGAGACATTTCAAGCACAATAATGAATACTTTATGATGCACCAATGTACCCTGCCCCTGTCTCCCCGCACACAGTGTATTATAACTGCAGCTATAGGGTTATGGTGTAAGGAGGTCCCATGTCTCCCCGCACACAGTGTATTACAACTGCAGCTATAAGGTTATGGTGAAAGGAGGTACCCTGTCTCCCCGCACACAGTGTATTATAACTGCAGCTATAAGGTTATGGTGTAAGGAGGTCCCCTGTCTCCCCGCACACAGTGTATTATAACTGCAGCTATAAGGTTATGGTGTAAGGAGGTCCCCTGTCTCCCCGCACACAGTGTATTATAACTGCAGCTATAAGGTTATGGTGTAAGGAGGTCCCATGTCTCCTCGCACACAGTGTATTATAACTGCAACTATAAGGTTATGGTGTAAGGTGGTTCCCTGTCTCACCGCACACAGTGTATTATAACTGCAGCTATAAGGTTAGGGTGTAAGGAGGTCCCATGTCTCCCCGCACACAGTGTATTACAACTGCAGCTATAAGGTTATGGTGTAAGGAGGTCCCCTGTCTCCCCGCACACAGTGTATTATAACTGCAGCTATAAGGTTATGGTGTAAGGAGGTCCCCTGTCTCCCCGCACACAGTGTATTATAACTGCAGCTATAAGGTTATGGTGTAAGGAGGTCCCCTGTCTCCCCACACACAATGTATTATAACTGCAGCTATAAGGTTATGGTGTAAGGAGGTCCCCTGTCTCCCCGCACACAGTGTATTATAACTGCAGCTATAAGGTTATGGTGTAAGGAGGTCCCCTGTCTCCCCGCACACAGTGTATTATAACTGCAGCTATAAGGTTATGGTGTAAGGAGGTCCCCTGTCTCCCCGCACACAGTGTATTATAACTGCAGCTATAAGGTTATGGTGTAAGGAGGTCCCCTGTCTCCCCGCACACAGTGTATTATAACTGCAGCTATAAGGTTATGGTGTAAGGAGGTCCCATGTCTCCTCGCACACAGTGTATTATAACTGCAGCTATAAGGTTATGGTGTAAGGAGGTCCCATGTCTCCTCGCACACAGTGTATTATAACTGCAGCTATAAGGTTATGGTGTAAGGAGGTCCCATGTCTCCCTGCACACAGTGTATTACAACTGCAGCTATAAGGTTATGGTGTAAGGAGGTCCCCTGTCTCCCCACACACAGTGTATTATAACTGCAGCTATAAGGTTATGGTGTAAGGAGGTCCCCTGTCTCTCCACACACAGTGTATTATAACTGCAGCTATAAGGTTATGGTGTAAGGAGGCCCCTGTCTCCCCCCACAAAGTGTATTATAACCGCAGCTATAAGGTTATGGTGTAAGGAGGTCCCCTGTCTCCCCACACACAGTGTATTATAACCGCAGCTATAAGGTTATGGTCTAAGGAGGCCCTTTCTCCCCTCACACAGTGTATTATAACC